TGTCTTGGTGGATTTTTCTTCGTATTTCTCTTTGACGGCATTCTTGTCTATGGTGGTAGCCTTCTTGGCAAGAATCCTTACAACTGAAATAAAATCAATACAATTATCACATGTAAAAGAGAAATAAGGAATGATGAAAGAGGTGAGTCAAAAACCTCTCATTCCACACCTTCGTGTATTGGATACTCTACACGAACGTGTTCTATATCGATATGAAGGTGCCATTTGAGACTGTCTAGAATATGCTTAGTCAAAACCACCCGATTGGCATGTTTTTGAGATTCTTGTTGAAGGATTTTTACAAAATCCCCACAAACGAACCAGACTGGAAATGAAGGACTAAAAGTCACACCAAATTCATCACTTGGAAGTCGAGGAAATTTTGGGAGATACATATTAAAAGCTAGTTCGTACTGTTGTTTAGGTTTAACGTACGAAGGCAGTTTTAAATCCTCCAGTTTCTTTGTGAATTTCTCTTTCAAGGTAACTGTTGCTTCACGAATGGTTCGACTAAGATCATCAGGTCTATATTCAATTTCAAAGTATTTTTGGAATGCTTGAATTTCTTTGACATGAGTCGTAATAAATTTCTTGACTTTTTCCTGCATAGAGGCGAAAGCATGAGTTAGTTATAGAGTAAAGGCAGGAACGTCAAAAAAAATTGTGGTATAATAATCCTTCCACCAAGTATCAAATTTTTGAGTGCAATGGAATGATGTCTTAAAGGCAACAAGAGTGAATTGTATGATACCCGCATATCTAGCTAATTCTTTGTTGCATTGGGCTTCTGTATGGATTATGTTGTAGAGAATCAATGAGTTCTTCTTGGTGAAAAGTGGTTGTGGCATAATTTGAATGAGACCAAACTGTCGAGAGACAAGATTGGATTGATAACTGATAAGAGTGAATTGAAATCTCGAGGGTCTAAGTCTTGTAGTCAATAGCCTAAGGGTGAGAAACGCTTCCCATATGGAAAGAGATTCTACTTCTTGGTCCTTCGACGAAGCAGGAAATTTTCTTGTGAACCATTCAGGGTCGTGCTTTCTATCAACAAAAAGATCCATGTTTTGTGTGAAGTTGTAACGCTTGGCAAACATCATTACATACCCAGTGAAAATTTGTTGAAGATTTAATCCTTCGTCACTAGGGGTAAGTAAAATAAGACGTGTCCCTTCGACCCTCTTATTCTTTATTTCGTCAGCCTCTACATTTATGGGATTGCGAACTGGTAAAGATACTTTGAAGGTAGTATTTAACCATACTTGCAGCAGCCAGAAAGGGCCAGAAAGTAGCAAGTTTCCTTTGGACTAAATGGTTTTGAGAGCTATGACGCCTTCCCCTAAGGACTCATAGAGATTGGACAAGATCATTTTGTTGAGACAAAGGTTGTGTCTAACAAGTATTTGGTTCGCCATGGTCAGCTACCTTTTCTCCACTTGAATAAACCTTGAATAGAATACGCAGCGAGACAGCCATAGAGCAAGGAAAATAATGTGCTCTTGGTCAGAAACTTCGACAGAGTCCTTGTCATGGTAGTATTCAATGTAGGTGGTGAAAGCAGCTTTAGTGGTGTCAAAACCAATAGAGTCTTCAGCCATAAAGTTTGGTTTATAAGTTTCCCCAATTGGTTTGAGCCCAGTGATGGAAGCAATTTCGAATAGGGTAGGTGTCACCATTCCACAAGGAATATGAAAGTTATTGTGGGTGTTATCCCAGAAGTACAGAGAGGCAACTAGCATATATTGACAATAGTCAAGTCCAACTTTCGGCAGCTGGATCATGTCGAATATACCCATATCTTTCCAGATTTGGGATTTTTTTTTCTTTTCTATCTTCTTTAGCCAGGTTAAGTAGTATGAGGGATCCTTAAATAAGGGGCATGATTGAAACACCCTAAAGTTATTCATATATTCTAGATTAATGGGTTCTTTAGAGGCTACATTCGAAGGCGAGCCTTGGTTATCAATTTTTAATCTTTCATTAACCTCGACATCTTTATTAGCCCTAGGTTTTTTCCCATTAGCTATAAGTTTATAGCAATGGTATGTTGGGAAATATACCCTGAGTCTATTAGGATTAACAGAAGGGTTTGATGGGATACCTAACATAGCGTGTGTTTTTCTAGTAACAGAAATTGGGAATTAATACCTGAGAATGGTATATTCCTCTCTTTTCTTCTTCAAGTGGAGGTTCGAGTATGTATTGTTGGTTACCCACAACTCTTGGGCCCAAGATCTTTATGACTGAAGCAAGTTCAGTTAATTTCTTGGATTATTTTGTGGTCTTGGTTGAGTCTTTGGAAGCTTTAGTAGAAGACATCATTGATACAACAAAGATTAAAGAAAAAGAAATGGTTTTGTTTGTGAAAGATGAAGAGTTCAGGAAGAAGCTTGTTCTTGTTAAGAAAGATTTGGAAGATGGAAAAGTTGAAAAATGTTAGCGTTCACTATTTAGAGGTTGATGAAGTGAAACGGTTCACTTCAAGCATTGGTGGTTGAAGAGATAGTTGAACACGTGCCAATCTGTGAGCAAGTGATGAGACGGTGGCAGTTGAACTAGCCCACGATCTCCTAGGAACTAAGAGCGTGATGATTGCAATAAAATTCCGTGCATGGGTTTGAGAAGAAGTTTGAGAAAAGGTGTCATGATGACTATGACGACATAGTAGTCAAAAATTTCATGGCGGCGAAAGAGACTTTCAAAAATGCTTTTTTCTCCAATTTAGTCGAAAACGACATTTAGGGGGCAATTTGTTAGCTGGAAGTTTTGACGCCAAGGTTTGATTGATTATGATAAGCAAAAGAAATATTTTTGAGCTGTTTTGGAATTCGACGGGAGTATCATTGAAGATCTTAGTCGAAGAGATCATTTGTAAAAGGGGATACGCAAGATAATACTTAGAAATATTTTTGAGTTTGGATTGCAATTTCGACAGAAGCAATCCTGAGGTTGTGTTCGACGAAGGTTTTTGAATTTTGAATAATGATGATAACTATCTTTTGTCCTTATCCGATTTTCAAAGGTGACGCGTGTAAAGTAGTGGTGAATTGAAGACGTGCAAGCGAAACGTGCCATTTTCTGGAGAAGAGACCGTTGATAGCGGTTATTTTCGACGAAGTATAAATATGAGTCTTAGTGTGTAGGATTTATGTGTGTTCAATCATTGTACAAATACTCACAAATTACTCAAAGTATCTAAGTGTTTTGAGAAACGAGTTCGTTGAGAATGTACGTCTGAAACACCATACTTTCATTTCAATTGAAGTTATTTTCAGTTTTATCAATTACTTTTTTTCATTGCAATTTACTTTGAAGTTCTTTATTGCAATTCCTTTACAAATTCTGCAATTTACTTTTAAACTTTAAACAACATTCTTCAATCATGGGCATTGTCGAAGTGTTCATAGACTTTCAAATATAATTTAAAAATAGCACATGTCCTATGATTCACTGGTTGATCCTATAAAGTAAACCATTTTTTGGAGACCAACGGTTGTTTGTCATTTTTTACGATAAACAATGGTAAACAGCAAAATGGAAAGAAAAACAAATAATATTAATGTATGCATTTATGTGGTTAGATTCATTTTGTATGCATTTATGTGGTTAGACATGTTTTGTATGTAATACTATCTTAATATTATTAATATTAATGATGTCAAATATATTCGTTTTCCAAAATATTTAACCATTTTCACACAACGTAATAGGGTGTATCTGGAAGTACATCTTTGAAATATTCTCTGGGATAGGATTGAATTTTTAGAGTCAATATTTGCCTAAATCTTGTATAAATATGGGTCTCTCGTCTCATATTTTTTAACAAAATCACATTACACCAAAATGATCATATATTTGTATGTCGCAATTGTCTACTTCAACGATGTGATTTATCACTTGAATTTAAGATCATTGAGTACACATTTCATGTAGATCTGAAATTCATACAAGAGAATCTCATAGAATATCAGACAATCGAACAAATTTCAAACTCGAGTATTATTCACCCTCGATAGACAACGAATGAAACATTCAGTTCAACAAGTTTGAGCTGAAGACGAATGAAGATTTAAGGGTTATGTGGAGTTTAATTCACGGTTACAAAACAAAATGTTTAATCGAGTTGGATATAAAAATTGCGAGATCCTCCAAAGATATTTTGAAGATGTTGAAATGAGATATTATTAAAAGTATTATTCGATTTATATTAACAATTATCTATGTATGTAATAACAATTATCGATGTTAATTTATTTTTGTTTATGCATCTGCATTTTTTTTAATTTAAAGGTTTCGAAAATACACTTTTATACTGTAAACGGAAATACATTTCTAAATTAAATTTAATCATATAATTAGAATGTGACTAAAAACAAAAAAAATAATATGAAAATGAAGTGTATTCAAAAATATATATTCGAATGGTAGAACTAGTTTTAATTTTACATTAACTAAGGTGGAAAATTAATACTTTAATAATAATTACACCTCACATTTTACGTGTGATTCAAAGAGAATCTTCAACACACACGATACAAACATGGAATCAACAAAATAAGCCAATCTATACACGTGTAACTCACATAGACACAAAATGACTCACTCTTTTATCTCTAGATAATGTTTTGTCAAAATTTCTCATTTTCCAAATCTCAACCATAATATTATCAAATTTCAACTATTTTTCTTGCTATAATGGAATATCAATACATGGTTGACAAGGATTTAACAACCTTACAAAACCTCAACAAGTTCATTCACCACCACTCATTTCTATGAACCAAACAAAGCATCCAAATCCATTCTCTTATTCCTCCTTTTAACAAAGTTGTAAATATCAAAAATGCTTTTTTCTACCACATTCCTTTCACTCTTCACCACCATCACCTACTTCCACTCTTTTTCTTCATCTTTCCTCTTCCTCCTCATTTTCATGGCAAAGAATCTTCCTAAATAATCACACAAAGATTCCAAAACACACACACTTTTTTTCCTTAGAAATGAATTTGAATCACTCTTGTGGTTTCTCTTTAACCAAACTCACAAAAACAACAACCTCTTCTCTTTTCCTTAGAAAATCTCATATCTTTCTTTCCAAAAACACTTCACCTTTGTTTCTTAGAGACTCCCTTCATGTCAAGCCTCTACCTCTTTCACCAAACATAACGAAAAGTCTGAGAAACTGTAAACTCTCACACCCTTTTGCTACCTTGTCATCTTTTGCAGAAGGAGGAGAGGGACAACACCAAAGTGGAGAGAATAATAACAATGAAGTATCGGGAATGGCAAAAGCATTCAACATATCATCAAGAACAGCTTCTGCTATAACAATATGTATAGCAGTGGCTGCACTTATTTTTCCTTTGTTCATGTCGTCTCTAGGACAAGGTTTGGCTTTGAAGACAAGGGTTTTATCCTATGCAACACTTTTGTTTGGATTCTACATGGCTTGGAACATTGGTGCTAATGATGTTGCAAATGCAATGGGAACTTCTGTTGGATCTGGTGCATTGACTCTTAGGCAAGCTGTGTTGACTGCTGCAGTGTTGGAGTTTTCTGGTGCATTGTTGATGGGAACTCATGTAACTAGTACAATGCAGAAGGGGATTCTTGTTGCTGATGTGTTTCAAGGGAAGGATTCTCTTCTCTTTGCAGGATTGCTTTCTTCACTTGCTGCTGCTGGTACTTGGTTACAGGTATATAATTTTTGTTTCACCATTTAGTAAAGTCTGGCCTAGGATTGTTCGAGCTAGTATTCAAAATTGGATTCTCATAAACGGTTTGTCTTTAACTAGAGTTCATAAACCACTTGAGTTTGAGTCCAATTTAGTAAGTTTGGTCCAATTTTTGGAAGAGACTAGATTGGTTTAGAACATGTAGAATTGAGTTTTCTGAGTTATTAGCTAGTGGTAATTTTCTTTTACTTTTGATCAGAAAAAGAAGGGAAAAAATGAATAAAAATTATGGTTTAGTAACAATCCAATGAACTTAGTTAGCTGCTAATTTTTCGGTACTATGCAGATTGCATCATATTATGGTTGGCCAGTATCTACTACACATTGCATAGTGGGAGCAATGGTGGGGTTTGGACTAGTTTATGGAGGCTCTGGTGCTGTTTTCTGGGGTTCACTGGCAAGAGTGATTTCTTCATGGATATTCTCGCCGCTAGTGGGAGCTGCTGTCTCATTTCTTGTATACAAATGCATCCGAAGGGTAATCTCTTTAATGCGACATTTATTTTTTCGATTTGTACTTTGTTCCTTACTCATTCAACCACTAATTTTTTCTCTCGAACAGTTTGTGTATAGTGCAAGTAACCCAGGACAAGCAGCAGCTGCAGCGGCACCGATTGCTGTATTTCTTGGTGTAACCGGAATTTCCTTTTCCGCTTTTCCTCTTAGCAAGACTTTTCCTATAGCTTTAAGTCAAGCTTTAGCCTGTGGAAGTGTCGGCGCTTTTCTGGTCGACAGAACAATCAGAAAACAACTAGGACATCTTCTAGAGAAGGCAAAGACTCCACAACCCGAGCCAAAAGATGAAACATCCCACCAAAACATAGGCTTCCTATCTGATATTGCAGGTCCGAAGGGCACTCAACTTGAAATAGTTTACGGAGTTTTTGGTTACATGCAGGTTTTATCAGCATGTTTCATGTCATTTGCTCATGGTGGAAATGATGTTTCCAACGCGATAGGTCCGTTAGCCGGTGCACTAGCTATTCTGCAAGGCGCAGCAAAAGGAGCTGAGATAGTTATTCCGATCGATGTTCTTGCGTGGGGTGGATTTGGAATAGTTGCAGGGCTAATGATGTGGGGTTATAGAGTTATAGCTACAATTGGAAAGAAAATAACCGAACTTACGCCAACAAGAGGATTTGCAGCCGAATTTGCTGCTGCATCGGTTGTTCTGTGTGCTTCAAAGCTAGGGCTACCGATATCAGCAACACATACACTAGTTGGTGCTGTTATGGGAGTTGGATTTGCAAGAGGACTTAACAGTGTGAGATCAGAAACAGTGAAGGAGATTTGCGCTTCATGGGCGGTTACTATTCCAGTTGGCGCTACCTTATCAGTGATTTACACTTGGATTTTGACTAAGCTTTTGGCTTATGTTTTATGAGTGTGCATTTTCAAGATATAAATAACAGGATATATGTATCTGGTTACTTATTGATCATTTGTTGAGAAATTTGGAGAATAAGATTGTTGTGCCTTGCAGCACAAGTATCTTGGGATGAAATTTTCTATGTTTGGTTTCTATGTGAAGTGAAGATTGCAAATGAGAGGTGAAATTGCAGACATGTTGCTTTTCTGTGGCTAAGTTGAAATAACTTAGCAATCTTTAGGCTTTGAAGGATGAAAATTCAGAGAATATCTATGGATGTACTTAATAAATTCATTTTAACCTTTTTGTTTTTCCTACTCGTATTCTTCTCTCTAAAATATGTACAAAAAGGAAAAGAAGAAAAAAAAGATTGGAAGATGTTTGGATTTTATTAACAGGGTGAAAAAGTAACACTAATTGTCTATTAGATACATGACGAGGAATCAGCAATTAAATTACAGAGTCTATAAAACACTGACCTTTTATATTGAAAGTATGTCTGGTGTCCTAACACATCTCAATACTCGACACAAAAAAGTATAAAGAAAATCATGGAGAGAGTTCCTTCACAGTCGGAAGACTAGGTTTCCATCCAAAACTTTGATATTGTCTTGACTTTGGAAAAGGTGGCACAAAGGTTTTCTTAGGTCTTAATCCTCTTTTTCTTGAAGGTCTTGTTGGTTTCTCCTTAGGATTATAAAATTCATTTGCAGACCTAAAAGAGTTCTCTAGAACTTCTCCTTCCACAACATACTCTTTCATCTTCGTGTCTACTTTCATTCCTTCTACAACTCCATTCTGCTCTTTGTGTTTGTTTTCACCGGGAGACTTGGATTTCGTATCGGGTTTCTCTTTTTCTACAACCTTGTTAGTCTCTCTGACTTGATCCTTCTCTTGATGCCTTTTTTTGAGCTTCTCGACGTCTTTCAAAGAGATTAAGATATACTTGTGACCAGGAATCAAAAGATCTTCTCGCCATAGTACAGATTGGTGAGGAAGTTTGAAAACATCTGGACTTGCGATACACATACCTGGATACTTTGTCATCAACGAGTAAACAGGAACCGCGTGTCTATAAACATCTTGTTGTCCACCTGGATGAGCTATTCTAACGACAAAATCCTTTGATTTTGAACTGAATTGATGATCCTTGTATCCCTTGTTTCCTCCTTTCTTCTTGATTCTCGAGTCTTTCTTATTGGTATTCTCTACGAATCCTAAAGCGTGAACGACGCGATTCAGCATAGCCTACAACTCAAAGATATGAAATCTAACTGTTTCATCATATTCTTTCACAAGATGATGTTAGGTAGAGGAGGTAATGTTGGCTATGGCAATAGTATTTAAACACTCTTCTTAGTATACTAATGCCGGCAACTTTTAATTTTATATTTTTCATCAAATGAGGTGGTGATGAACCCAATGCTATGCATATGTGTAGACAAAAGGAAAGAATTGGGTTTTGTTTATAATTTTGTGAGATGAAACAAAAATTCTGCATAGAATGGATAAGAAGGAATCAACTAGCTTCCTCGATATTAACTCCATGGTTTAGGATTTGGATTTGGTGAAGTAACTGCATCTAGTAGTTTTCGATCTCAACCATCCGATTCCACGTTAATGATCCCGTGGTTTGATACTGCGCAAACTCTGCAAACACATTCTTGTGCTAGGATCATACTCCCATAAACCAGACGAAACTTGGCGTGCAAGTTTCTTCAGCCTCCCGCTGATCCAATTGTTGTGAATAATGTAACATCCTTTCTTTAAACATGTTGCTTTGACATTTTTTTCTTGCCACAGGTTTTGGTAAGCACCATTAGGAAAAAGGTTTCTGTCTAAGAAATGCACTGTCACATTTGTTTCAGGTTCCTTACATTTGTCATCGCCGACACGGTTGGACCCTCCGTTTCCACATAATATGTCATAGAAGCTTGGTTGCTCAGATAAGCCTGAAGTTTCTGCATGCTTTACCACTTTCTGTACGGCAGCAATTGTTTGATTATCAGAATGAGCATAATAGAAGCCGGAGTTCAAACGTCTAGGTAGGTTTATCGGTCCTGCACAAATTATAAAGAAAAAACATTTGCATAACAATCTTCGCAAAATGGACTAAAAGAAAAGAAAATTTGCAAAAAGGGCATTGAAAACAGCTTATTTATGGAGAATAAGCACCATGTTCTTGGTATTCATCGGACTGTGCGACAAGAACTGCGGGGCCAAAGGAGTGAAGTAAAGGAATAGGGTTTCTGAACCAATATGTATCCACATCACTAAGTAGTACATTGTATCCTAGTTTGAGCATCTTCAAAACAATTCTTGATTTCACTTTTGTGACCCTTTGGAAGCACTTTGTTCCGAAGTGGCAATCATCAAAACTAATATCACTTGGAGCTATAGGATCTTTGAAAACCGGAATTCCCTGCCATGGAAAAAAGTGTGAGAAGAGTTAAGAAGTTTCTTGCAGAGAAATTAAGAGAATATAGAACATACCTGCAAGATGGAGAATTGATAAGTTTCTTGATCAAGGGCGGAGACGATAAAATTTTCGATGGACAATTTTCTTAATCTGCAAACCCAACTCATGAGCATATCCTTGTAGCTATAACCAGAAACTGTTAGTACAATTGTTTTATTTCTGTCTGCGGTGATAGACAGAAGTGATTCTAAGGAAAACGGAAGCTCCAAAGACGATGAAATTTTCTTTCGATCCTTTAGAGAAAAATCTGAAATTCTGGTCACTGATTTCTGATGAGCAATGCAATGCATTGCATTTTCCTTCATCCGCTTAACTTCCCCTCGGTGTCCAATTGGATAAACAATGTTTTTCTTGATGTCAACCATAATATATTGGTTTTCACAAGTCAAAAGTTTGGGTAGGTTTGAGTAATAAGCTTCACTATAGAAGAATGATCCATAGTGTTCTCCTAAATGTGAATTACCAATGTACTCCCACTTTCTATTTTCGATATCTAAAGAAGTTGAATTCTCAAATGTGGCGTTATTCAGATTGAAACTTTCGATGGTTGAACTAGCATCAAACACAAACCTGAACTCGGATGAAATAGCCTCGTGAATTATCCAATTGTTGTGTGTACCTGTTAGAACAGCAACCCGGTTCAGAAGAATAAAGAAAGGAAAAGCATGGACAAATAAAACAATGAACACACAAGGTTTGATAACGTAGTTTGAACAATTGTGCCTACGTCTTCGACTGCATTTCTTTTCTCTTAAAACTATGGTCCAAATTACAACATTACCCTTGAACCGTACCCAAGAGTACCTTTACCATAGATGAAAGGTGGAAGAACTCCATTATGTAGAGGCATATCCTTGTTATTCCATGCTATAAGCATTCGTTCTGCGTTACAACAATGATTCCACGGCCGATTCTGTTGTAGTATTTTCTGCAGCAGGAGAATAGGCACAATTCAATGAAGTTTTGTGTTGAGAACTTGAGCATGAAAATCAAGTGTGTAAATGTCTGCATTGTTTACATGCTCTGAGATCTGCGGAAGATTTTTCATACCTCTTGAACTCTCACTTGTTTCGTATTATTCAAATTGGAAGCATATTGAGGTGAAGCAACGAGAAGCCAATCGCGGTTGAGTTCACAGACATGATTTAGCGAGGAGATGAATCCGGAAAGGATAATTGTTTCAGGATCAATTATAACAAATATGTCTGAAGGAAATGAGCACGATTTTGCAATCATGGAATGGAAAAAAGGACTGCCAAGGAAGCTGGATAAACAAAAACATAGACTGGTAAGTAGTTTAGATTTCATCAGGCATAACTAAATTCAGAACCATGATTTCTATAATAAATATCAATTGGTCGGTTTTCTTACGTGAAGTCGATGTTGGTATCAACTAAAACCCGGCCGGAGTCAAAAGCATTTGCAAAGGAAGCGACAGAAGGATGTTGACTATACAAAACAACAGTAACATATGGAGACAAAGCCAACCATGACCGAACAGCGAGCGTCTGCCTAGTCCCGGTAGAGTCCATAAAAGGCTTAGGAGCTGTGAATATGGTAATGCTAAGGTTTCCAGAATCCAAAACATCATTTTTATTGTAAACTCTGCCATGATCCTTGTTGAGTGAAGGTAGTCTTTGTGTTGCATATAGCGAAAGAAGTATCAAAAGAAACCCAGATAGCCAAATTGACCAAAGCTCCACATGAAATGCCTGTTAATCAAATGCAAGAAGAGTAACATGTTATGAAAAAAAGAGCAAGGTGGGCTTTTTGAAAGACAAAGAAGAATGAAAAGAAGGGAAAAGGAAAAACAACCTTCATGCTTTTTATTTTTGTATTAGTTAGAAAACTGTGTTATTTCTTGTTTTTTGTCAACTCTTGATGGGTTATTAATTAAATAAAAGAGAAAAGAAGTGTTGCTTTAACTGAAAGAAAGAAATGAAATATTAACAAACAAAGCACTAGGCCACTATACTAAAACATGTGAAGTTTGACGTCATAAGCACGTTAGCTTGGCTTCCTCCATTTTTTCACGGAAGTTGAAACATTTGAATCAAATATATAAAAAGGAAATTGAATTTCAGATGGAAAAGATGATAAGTTACTAGTCAAAAAGTCAAAGCTCGCGTGTAGTGTATGTTTTCTTTACAGTATAGCAATACTATATCAAAAAGTTCGAAGTTGTTGCAAGTTTTCTTAGTATGTAGTTTTGTTAGAAGAATTCATTGATTGATTTATGTATAAATATACTTATGTAAAAATGACTTGAATAACAAATTTCAATGTAAAAATCACATTTATATTCAAAAACTACAAATTTAAAAACAACATATTTTAATTTCGGATAGAATCGATTCTAAAGACACATTATATGTTTGGTTTAATGGCTGAAAATAAAAAAGTCACGGTAACATATAAGCTACACTTTATAGCTCCTGGTTTTGACAGTAAAATGCTATTCAAACGTGCGGTGACAGTGGAAAAAAGCTAATCCTAACATAGAAGCTACACTTTGTTGCTTCTGGTCTTCACGGAAATGCTCTTCAAAAGTGCAGTGACAGTGGGAAAAAGCTAATCCAAACACGCATAATAAATTATACTTCAAAAGAACCAAACATTTTAAAATCATTCTAAAATCAATTCTATATCTTTAGAATTCTATACCACACATTTCAAAGCAAGCTCAGTTTTAAACAATATCGATTATAATGAACTCTAAAAAGTTTGCTCAAATGCTCTTCTTCGTGATGATGACTCAGAAGCTTAATTTCACTCTCCAGTTTGAAAAATATGCTAATGTCATTTTAACGTCAATTAATAATGTATATCGAAATCACTATCACTATCGCTATCCCCCTTGTATCCCCCTTCCACTAAACTCATCTACCCACTATTTGCTGACTTGGAATGAGTACCATTCAGGCTGCGGAAAGGGGAAAAAAACACAGAAATGGGCAGCAGATCAAATTAATGAAGTAAATTATTTGAATCGTTTCACTAATGCAATAGGCAAAATTTTGATTATGGTCTGATCTATTGAATTTGTCAGTAGGAAGGAATTATAATATAGATGGAACTTAAATACAAAACAAAATTCTATGGAGCATAAAGCTTGGATTTTTTAGCTTTTTTACAACAAATCAAAACATAATACACACATATCCAACTCTACAAGAGTTTTATACCAGTTCTTCCCAAAGAAAGTAGTAGATCAGGAAAGCAACTGTATCTTTATGTTGAACCTACAAAAATAGGACAAGTCATCACTTAATAAATCCTGGCGATAATCCTTCGCAAAGACTGTGCATTGTAAGCTTAGCCCATCTTCCAAGTCAATGTTCTCTTGTGCAAACCAGGTAGAAACAGCTACAACTGCCTTTTCCATTCACCTATGCCGTCGAACAGGTGATCTGGATCTTGACCTTCTTCCCCTGCATAAAAAGGAAACACTGTAAATAAACAAGGCCCCACTGTCATAAATGAGAACCCATACAAATTCACCTGAATAGCTTATATTGTTACAAGTTTGTCTCAAATATAAACCTTAAACATGAAAAACTTATTGGCAACAAACCTGGAATTATCAAGAGAAGAATAGGGAGAATGCCTGCGCTGAGAACGCTTGCTATGAGGAGACCGCGAAACTTGTCTAAAAATGAAACCACCGTACTGACTTGGTGAGTTTAAAGTGAACGAAGTTTATAGAAAACAGCTTTAACCTGGTAGTGTCAACACTCCCAGAGGAAACAGCCTATTACCATAAATTGAATATGTTTCTATTGAATATGGTAAGATACAGCCAAAGTTTCACCAGATCTTAAAACCTTGTAAGAACTACAAATGTCCCCACATTATTATTCTATATCCTGGTCACAGTACAGAAACCCTAACAATCCAAAATAAAAAAATGCCACATAATTGTGCAGCTAATTTCAAGTTTCTTGTCTCTCTAATTCTCTAAAATACTATATAAGCAGATGGTAGAGGAATAAATTGAGATTGCACACGGTAGAGTATAGATGCATGAAGATGTGAAAGATTTATAACATAACAACTTGTACAGCAAGAAAAGGATTCTATTTAAAAAAACAATATGATAACTGGACTTCAAGTTTTCAACTACAGAAACAACCAAATGATTAAATCTGTGGTATAAATATCAGCTTCTGGAACCGCAAACAGCCAAAGATCATATGTTAAATATGTTTTTATATTATATGTTTGACAAAAAGTTCAAATATCAACAATCTTTACACAAACTCTAAAGTTGCACTAAGATGAAGGGGTAAAATTGCCCAACAGAGTTAGTCTTATCATAAACGTGTCTGAAAATAACTTATAAAATAACAAAATATTGATATTCAATTAAATAATTATGATTTACAAAACTCGTAAATAGATGATAAACAATTAAATACATAAAAAAATGTTAGAGGACGGAAGTTTAAGTCCAAAAATAGTGCATGAATAAATATATATTTCTGGTCTTGAGATAGTAGTGTTTCAGGTCACTTTTGATGAAATCAATAATGAAAAATGCAGAAAAGCAGAAAAATAACTTAGCAGTTCAAACACCGACACAAAGAAAGTAATAAACTGTGCAGCCTAATCATGTCCTGGCATTTTAAGATGCAATTTTTCTTCGTATTACTACGAAAATGATGTTTGTTCTACCAAATTGTTATTATTAACCTTACAGAAAATGGAACACTATCAATATATGTCGAAAAATGAACCAAGTGAATTTTATGACTACAAATGAATTTCATATCAGAACAGGAAGAAAGATATTGCTATAGCCATAAACACAGATATGTGACAGATGCTCTGGAATAATCAAAATATTGATACTGCAAACCTGAAAAAGGTAGTGAGTATATAAACAATACCTTCTTTTAGACCTGACTGGAGATGGTGACAAGTCACGCTTTCTTGAATGCAGCTTCCTGCAGTACAGAGAAGAAATTAGATACTATATCACAACCAGACAAATGAAGGTTAATTGGAATCTGTTATAACCTTTTTGAACCATCTGAGCCTTCACCACTTGAATCATCAGCATGATTAACTAGATGATCCTTGCTGGTTCTACCCCTACTGCTTACTGACGACGAACGTCTTCTTCTATGCCTGTCATGATCACTAGCTTCCCTTCGCCTAGATTTATGCTCCCCCTTATCCTTTGCATGTTCCTTTCTCCGGCTAGTATCTTCCATGGTACTACCTCTATGAGGTTTTTCTGCTCCCTTCCTATCATCCCTGACATCATCACGGGAGGACCTTTTCCTTGATTCGGGTTCCTTTTCCTTTTCCCCGTGCTTTACATTATGCTCTTTTACTCTTTCTTTTGACTCACTGATGTGATCTGTTTGTTCCTTTTTATGGTTTCTTTCCTCCTTCCTTCTTTTGCTCTCATCACTTTTTTCGTCTGTCCTGGTCCTATGACTACTTTTTACCTCCTTAAAATCCTTCTCCGAAGAACTCCTGTCATGTCGGTCATTTTTCTCAGATTTTCTTCTGCTTTCCTTACCAAGATGGTCATCTGTTGCTTTCTCCATGCCGTTCTTTCCAGGCAATTCAGATCTTGGCACCCCTGACATGTCTTTCGAGCTAAAACCATTAAATCTATCATGGCTTCTTTCTATTGCTTCAAGTCCATTATCCCTAGTATCTTTAGAAACTACCTTGGAAGAATCTGAATTATCAGATTCTTTGGTTATCTTAGCGCCGTGTAATTCATCAATAGCAGCACCATTGCCATTTCTGGATAGCGATGAGTTGGTTTTTACTACATTATTCACCATATATGCAGCATCTTTTGCAGGATCAGGCACAGTGGAACTCTCAATTTCATCATCAGCATCCGAACCATAATTTCCAAGACCTAAAACATCTCCAGGAGAACTGGAATTAGATTTTTCATTGGCACCATCATTCTCTATTCCCTTTGCTTTAACTGGAACTAAAACTTTAGCAGTTGCCTTAGGAACCGGAGCAGAGGGTGGAGAGGTTGATGCCTTATGGTTTGAAGTGGCAACATTATGATCCACTGATGAAAAAAAAATTGTTAGAACTTCCAATACATAGTAATCCATACCTAGCATTTAATTATTTAGGTATATGGAAGGTCGAGAAAATTAGAAGGATCAGGCAATTTACCTTCAGCAGTCAAATCATCTTCACTAAGAACTTTAGTTGCAATTTCATCAAACAATTCATCAGTAACCTAAAGAAGAAAGCTATACAATTAGAACTGTCATATATTTCTCTACTACAGACAGTATATAGATGTTAAACATAGCATTTTTTTCTACCAAAAAAAATGGTTAAATAGGACACAACAACTCATTCATTTCAAACAATGCGCTTACCTTTAAAAGAACTTCGGTAAGAATTTTTTTTATTTCCTGGTTGATTGCTGCAGTTCTAGCCACTTCAACCTGATCATACATATCACAAATGTCAGACCAAATCTGAAGTGGATGAAGATTATATGTATAGACACACACACACTCATACATACATAGAGATAACTTATTTTTATGGGAAGAAATAGTAAAAAGCAAACCTCCTCGTCATCTTCATCCTCAGCTGATCTGGACGAATCAACACTTTTACTATCTGTCTCGTCTTCAGCTTTCGTATATGATTTATCAATGTCATCACTCACAAGTGTTTCTTCCACCTTTGGATGATCTGCGGAAGGAGTGGCAATGACTGTTTTCTTTATTTCCTCTCTAAGCCAGTTAGGGACTGACGCCTAAAAAATAATTTCAAATTTAGGTTTGATGAATCATATATATCGAAGCACTAACCTTCAGAAAGCACTTACCTTCTTAGGACGTTCAGGGACACCAGAAATTCCATATGCATCAGCAGAGAAAGCTGCAGTAGGATGAACAGTAGCTACTGTGCTAAGGGAATAGGGTGCACCATTTGGTGGAATTGTTGAAGGGTGACCAGCTCCAGGAAACCTTCCATATGGTGCAGCTACATGACCAGGAGTAGTAAAAGAAGGATCATGCTGTTAAATTAACCAAGTGTCAGGTGAGTTAAAATAAACATGTGAATTGACTAGAAAAAACAAAATGTCCAAATTTATAACCTGTGGCCCTGAGGAAAGATTTGGAGGTATTGGTGGATAACCAACACCAGGTCCCACTGGAGCACCCCAGTTATTCATTGAAGAAGCAGAATCATGATGACTATAAGTTGATTGCATTTGCAGGTCATTGTCACGACCAAACCTAGGTGCAAAATCTAAAGGTTGATCAGCAAGATTGGTAGATGAGTCAACAGAATGGCTATGGGGTGCAAAGGATGGTGCATGCATTGATGGTTGTGCATGGTATTGTTCTTGAGATGAAGAACTTGGCAAAGGAAACATTGCATATGACTGTTGAACCTGATCAGCAGCCTCTTTACCTGTAAGTCAACATTCAGATTGAGCGTGGAAAAATAAATGAGGGAAAGCATGAATTACTGAAGTTCAAAATATAGTCTTCATGTCCTAGAGTAAGGCTCCCTATGGGCATGCTTATGTTCATCAAAGCTAAGTTATCTTTACCCACTAATAAGTTATCTTTAACATCTTCAACACTGTCTCATTGATGATTTTGACAACTGGTGGTTTTATAATTCATCTTCTAGAAAGAAAATATTTAACACTTTTAGAATTTGGATTAGGCCTAACTCAACCTTACAAAACTGGCTTGTAAGGTGAGGGCAGTCCCCACTTATAAACATTTGTTTAGGTCATATCTCATCTAATATGCGACTCTTAAGATGCACCCCTCACGCCCAAGACTAGACATCTGGAGCATGACCCGAATGGTCAGATAGTGGGGTAAACTGATAGCAGATGGCCCAACAAATCTTTGATAGACTCTGATACCATCTTAGAATTTTGGTTGGACCCAACTCAACCTTACAAGCTGATTTTGTATGATTAAGTTAGGACCAACCCAAATTATAAGACACACGTCTATTAATCATAAGATACAAAATAAAGCAGCAGGATGGTGGGGAATGGGTTTCTTCTCTAGCCAAGTCTTCTACAAATGTGTGAAGATGAGTTAATTTTGGCAGGCAAGGCAGTGCTAAGAAATATATTGCCTCACACGTTCCTAAATTTGAGCCACTAGTGCACGTCTCTGCTCAACTAGAACATAGATATGATTACAAACAATCTTCTTGACAGGAAATGTGTGGTTTTAAATATGGTTTCCAATATTTATATATATAAAAAAAATTTATAAAAAAAAAAAAAAAAAAAAAAAAAAAAAAAAAAACAACTAGACTTGCTGTTAAAACAACTTCCGATCTACTTGTGTTTCAAAGGCATGTCAACAGACCCACGTGAGTAAGGTATGAATGCATTCAGACACCTCAATGGAAAAACTAATTAACAAAAAATTCAGGAAGACCTTGACTTTTATAGCAAATTACAAGTAACAACCAATGGAATTTTCTCAATCTCAGCAACGGAGTGTTGTCGAGTTGTGGTTGACAAGAATTCAAGTACAGGATGGCCATGACCCATAGGAAACAGGAATGGGCTTCTAGGAGGTAATTCTAATAAAGCTGGTTTTGAAAAGGTGAATGCTCTTACACTGATATTAAAAAGCAGAAACCTTCTGGCTGAATTGTGTGCATTACATGAAGATATTTCTTGTCATTAACCAACTGTTCTAGAAGCTTAAGCTATTAGGAGAATACACACAAATGGTTATTTATTACTTCTCTAAAAATGTCAAAAATCGGCTACCACAAAAACTTAAGCTACTAGTACTAGTACTAGTTGAAGACATGTGCATGGTTTATATAATATATATCTACCTTTCATATTAGGGGTGTGGGCAATGCAGGTGATTCCTATGATCTAAACATATATATCTAACTTTCATATTAGAGGTGTGGGCAATGCAGGTGATTCCTATGATCTAAACTTTTTTTTATTCATTGGAGATAATGTTGGCTGTTTTGTTGGGTAAGGAGGCAAAGATTTTCCGCCAAATACCTACAGAAAAACAGGTAGAAAAGAAACCATCAAGATTGACAATAGTAGTAATCATGGATAAGCCAAAAGGAATTAGGTGCAGGTTTGGTATCATGGTAGGTATGCCGAAATCAATGTGAGACACCATGATTTTGCACAAGCTAGTGTTTAGCCAGATAGCATCATTAAAAAGATAGTAAGGACGAATAATGGGAAGAGGTTGAAAGAGATCTCTCTCATGGTTATCAAACCATTAATCAAATTGAAAATTGAAAGACCTATTTTATCAATCCTGAATCAAAACAATTCATGAGTCATAAGAATCGTGATCAATTATTAAAAATAACAGATATATTTTAAACATAATAAAATTGTACAATTATGTAATGAAATAAAATAACTTGTTTCCTTTATAAGTACATTTATTATTGAAGGTTTCTAATAATTTCCATTCGTTCAACATTAACATCTAGAACCTTAATTTTTATCAGCCAACGCTTTGGTTTCACTTTCCAAAGCCACTGTCCCAGTCAACGGTTTGCTGTGTCTAGATCCATGGGGGGCTCAAGAGAAGCAACAGCATAGATAATATTTTTGAAACCATCTTTGAAGAACTCCCAAACAATGACATTCCAGCCACATTGATCCAACACTAACTCGGTTCATCCCTCCACAGTGGCTGTTTGGCTCCCACCCCAATTTTACAATCTGTATTGTTGGAAATATAGCAAAATCGGGATTCCTACTACTATTCCAAATTCAGCAAGAAATTTCAATGGCAAAATTAAACTAATACAACGACCACCGTGAATTCTCATTGAACCAAATTTTAACAGGGTCACATCACAAACAGTACATAAAATTTTAGAATATCATCTATGAATGATTTCCATAGTGCTTCACTTGCAATTTCAATATATTAAATAAATAATTACCTGCAACAGAACTATAACTAGTAGGTACCTCCTGCGGATGAACTGATGGATTTGTAGGGAAGTTTGCTTGTTCAAACGAGACAGTTGGATCTCCGATGCTGGTCCCGTCTCTAGCACTGTATGAATGTCCATCTGAAGTATAAGCTGCTTCTAAACTGACGGATACAGCCTCCTGGGAATGTCCTGAATTTCGCTGCATAGCTGGATCTACGAAGGAAAATTGTTGATAGCCTGATGATGGATGGGACTGGTTTTGAGCATCGGTATAACGTGGGTCTACAGATTGCTGATATGGATCATGATAATGGGTTTGCTCTGGCACTCTTCCAGCATGTGAATAATGTGATTGTGGATGCTGAGTTTCCATTGCAGACTTAGCATCGGCCCACGCTCTGGCCTTGGCGGCCCAATCTTCTTCATTCGTATGGACTACGATCATGTCATTATGGCAAACAAAACAACAACAACCACTACATTAAGAAATCATATAGAAAATTTGGTGGGAAGGGGAGCCAAATTTCCAAGTGACCACGCTACACAGTCATATCACTCCAATGACTACATGCCAAGCCAATTATTAATATACTACATGTGTTACAAACTTCAGTTGAAAGTGACATTAGTTTGATCATGATTTCCTTACTCCTCTTTCTCACAAACGACCTTTTGATCGTTATTCAGTGTCAAGTAACAAATCACAATAACTTCATTAAGTAAAACATACAAATGAAAGGAAGTGTGAATCATATTTTGTAAGCGAAAAAACAATGAACTCGACTATAATAACTTCCAAATCCTCTTGACTTCAACTTATCAACAAAAATAAAACCCTAACTCTTGTAAAAGAACATATTAAAACCAACCTGGATACGCTTGGTTTTGAGGCCAGCCAGGGTTGTTGTTCCATTCCTATAAAATTTCAAACAATTAATGAGATTACAATTATCAAAAACGAAAAAGTGTAAATCAAACAAACCCTAATTAGGAAGCAGCAAGGGTAAGAGGGTAAGAAAGATATTTCACCTGAGGATAAGGCTGGGGAATGTGAGAGTGAGGCTGGAACTGAGGAGGAGGAGGAGGAGGACGAGCATGATGAGGAGGTGGTGGAGGAGGGAACTGGTTGGGATGATAGGAATAAGGATTTGACGGAGGAGGAGGAGGAGGAGTCTGAGGTGGAGGCCACTGCTGTGGAGGAGAAGGAGTCTGGTACTGAAATTGAGGTGTGAACCAGGGGCCTTGAGGAGGAGGAGGCGGCATCTGATGATACTGGTGGTGTTGTTGTTGATGGGGATCCGCCGTGTGTGGCGGAGGAGGAGGTGGTGGTTGAGCTGGCCTCATGTAACCGCCGTGAGGTTGTTGTTGCTGGTATGAATCCATGGATAAGAGGGAAAAGGGAATTTCGACTCGAATTGTTGTGAAATGCGATGCTTTTCGTTTCGATCGCAAACAAGCAAAAACCCTTATTTTTCTCACTCAATGGAGTCTCTTCTTTCAAGGTAGAGAAATTTAGACCCACTCACCTTGGTCATTTTTTCACTCAAAAAAAAGTTTTTTTATTATTATTAGGCAAAATATCATTTTTGGTCCCTTAACTATATCTCGGAGTTCATTTTGATCCCTTAACTTTAAAAAGTTCCATATTGGTCCCTTAACTCTTCAAATGTTCCATATTAGTTCTTTTTGACCTATTAGCAACGGAAAAAAATCAAAAAACCGTCGCTAAATTCGTCGCAATAGGTCAAAAATGACTAATATGAAACATTGGAAGAATTAAGGGATCAATATGGAACTTTTTAAAGTTAAGGGAACAAAATGAACCCCGAGCTATAGTTAAGGGACCAAGAAGGATATTTTGCCTTATTATTATTATGAAATAAATTGACAATTAAAAATGATAAGCTTAATCTTGCTTTGAAAGAAAAATAACAAAGGAATTAGACAAAATTTATTTTAAAAATAAATAAATGAATTTTGTGACTCGTGATTTATTTTTATTTTTTTTAAATAGTTTAATGATTGAAATTCACTTTTTAATAATGAATGCGTGAGATATTGTGAATTTAAATTTGCGCTTCTACAAATCAACTGAATTGATTTAATTGGACAACTCGTAATTTATTTAATTGTGAATAAATTTTATAAAAGTTGTGTAAGTATAATTTTGAATTTTTTTTATTTTTCATTTGTAAGTATTTAGTGTTTGTCACTTTTATTGCAACTCTTTAAAATAAATTGTACAAATAAAAATAATTTAAATTATTTTAAAAAAAAATATATTATTGATTTGTAAATATCAACAATTTTTTATATAAAAAAACTTTTAAAAACTAATAATTGTTATTTAATGTAATTAAAATCAACTAATTGTAAATATGTTATTAATATCGCAGACTCTTGTTTCTAAGATACTTTGTCCACCCTAAGTATAACTATCACCCTAAAAATCATAGGCAACATCCCAAAGTATAATAGTATATTAATGTATTTTTATGAACTTTTAATTTTAATATAGTAGTTTCTTATGTTCTGATACTTTCAGTTTTTGAATGTTTAAACTAATTTATTTATTGTTTTAATTAAATTTGTTACATGAAATGTTATTATTTTTGAATGAGGTTTAATCCTTTATAATTATATTTTTTTATTTTAAACATTTATTACTATTTTATTTTAATTTAAGATTAATTGTTATATAATAAGTTATGAAAACTTGATTATAAAAGTCTCCTTCAAATAAAATATACAAGCAATTAACGACAATTGCAAATTATCACATAAAATACATAAAGGCATTTTCGACTCACCTAGTTAAGAAAAACATATCATCTAAGAACTCATCATTGCAAGCTAGGAGAAATTAAAGACAAGGGTTACGGGAGAAAAATAGAATTTTTTTTTATAATAACTAAGTATTGTTTCTTATTTTCTATAAAAACTAAAGTTTCAGAACATTGTCCAAAATGACATGAATTCAACCTTTTGTCGCCGGATGAAATCACGACAGAGTGCATTCTGAAATTTGTGTTTAATGAAGTTGCCATAGTAATTGGCGACAATGTTGTTGGGCAAGAAACTCGCCAGGTGGAATGGCGACACAGGCCATGCTAGGGTTTTCCTTTTTAATCTTTAAAATGAATTATTAATAAATCATAATTATGTTAATTATGATTAATTCTTAAATTAATTTTTTTAAATAATAAACACAACTTTTATTAATATTTTTATGGTAATAACACAATTTTTATTAATGAAATAATTTATGTAAATATTTTAATAAATTATTTAAAGAATAACAATATAATTCAAAACAAATATTTAAATACATATTTAAATGGTAATAACATTAAGTTTGTTATTAAATTTATAAATATTTTAATAAATATATTTAATTACGTATTAATAAATATTTGTGATTAAATTATGTTGTTTGTTTTTCATAATGAATTGAAATTTAAATAACCTTAAAATAATATAGACATGTAAAAAATATTAAAATATATTAATTCACAATATAATGAAAATTACAACTGAAAAAAAAAACTAATGGCCGGCTCTATCCAAGCGACCACTTGTGCCATATTGCGGGAGATGCGCGCTGCGACGAGGTCTACGACGAGGTGTTGCACCCTAAAATTTGCTCAACCTATTTCACCTGGTTTATGTTTTAATTGCATTATCATTTGCATAGTCACATCATGTACATGGTCCAATCATTTGCATATCATAACATAGCAAGTCATCTAACAGGGGATCAAGTGCCATCCTCATCTAAAGAAGCACATCAAGGGGCCTTATTCAAGCTGAAGAACATCCAAGTCATCAAGAAATGGGTTGAAGCTTTGAGGAGATTTGAGTGTCAACAAGTGGATTTCTCTCTTAACTTGAGGTGTATTGGAGGTCATCAATGGGGTATGAAGCATGAATTGAGGATATGGAGTGTGTACAAAGCTCATGGGATGCCTAGAAGGCCATATTGAAACTTAGACAAGTCATGGTATCAAGGTCAAGAACCACAGTTGAAGTGTGTACAAGTAGGGTTTCATCTGGGTAACCCTAGGGCAAGGAGAGTAGAGAAAGGGCATCAAGACCTAGCTCTCAGTCATGGGTTGAGATGTTAAAGCATGTGTATGGATGAGTCAATATCAAGTTCAAGAGAATTAAGAGTGGTTGGAGGTGTTTGAGACAGGGTTCCTAGGGTAAAATCCCCTGTATAGCACTGGACTTCCAAGCTACACAAGTCAAAATTCAAGTTTCAAATGGATTCTTGGTCAACATGAAACTTGTAGAGCTTTTCAATATCTTTTATTTGAGTACTAGAAGTCTCCAAGGAGATTTGTAGAACTCAAGTTATGGTTCTTGCAAGTTATGGGTCATCAGAGGACACTAAAATTTATCTGTGAAAGTCACTTGACTTCCAAGCAACTTTTGCCCATCAAGGAGTTTTCAAATGGATTCTTGGCCAACATAAGAATTGTAGGGCTTGATCTTAGCTTTAATTTGAGTACAAGAAGTCCTCAAGAAGATTTGTGGAACTCAAGTTATGATCTTGGCAATCCAGGGGTATTTTGGAAAAGTTGAATTATAGGTCATTTTTCAACATAGGTCAAAATCTCTATCTTCCACTCCTCAAATGGAAAAATGTTCAACATGAGATGTGCTTAAAATGATGTTTTTAGGTCATATAAGAAGTCATGGGTTATTGAAATGGCTTGCTTCACAAAATGATCCAAAATGGCCTAAAATAAGGATGGATTTTAAATGAACCAAAGAGGAAAATTGTGTTTTTTGAGCCATAGGTCCAAACCAGTCCATATGACACACCAAATTGATCAGGAAATGCATTTCAAACACAATGATATTTCCACATTTTTGAGTTGAGGGTTAATTCCATGACTTGCTTTGTAAAGTCATTACTTACATTACAAGTCACAATGCCAAAACAAAAAACAAGGCAATTCAGGCCAAGCTAACTACCTAAACACACTCCATAACCAATTTGCAGTTGGATAGAACATTCTAGAGCAAGCTGAAAGCTCAGAATTGTGACTGATACATTGCATTTTCAAGAGGAAAATCAGAATTTTGGATCAGGAGAATTGGGCCTGAATTGGATTGAATAAGCCCACAAACACTTCATATTTAAGCTCTAGAGTGAATTCAGATTCAGTTGGGTGCAGAATTCGTGGAGAGAGTGAAGATTGCAAGTGAATTTTTCAAGCTTCAAGCCAGAGTCAATTTTGGAATTCAAGGCACAATCAAGCCAAATTGAAGGTTGGAGAAGCCTCCCCTTGCATCCTTGAAGGTGTCTGGATCATCTTGGAGATTGAATCGTGCTCCAAGTGCTTATGTTAGTGAGCTTTTTACAGGTTTGTAACTTCAAGATTTCCTCATAATCTAGGCTGAATTAGGTAGATTCTTGCATGTGGTTAGGATCTAGGATGATTAGGGAACGTTTCTGGATTGGTTTGGAGTTGATTGGTGACAATTAAGTGTGATGCACAATTTCTGTTTGGATACGGTTATGCACGATCTTAAGGTTTCAAATCAAGATAGATAGCTCATGATGATCACTGAAGGATGATGATCATTTCTATGGATTCAATTTTGTAAATGGTGAGGGTTGAAAACGTGACACCTTCTGAACTTTGATTCGTGTTTAGATTTCCATTGAGAGTTGAATGAAATGGATGTGATATTCGTGATCCTGGTGATTTTCTGAGTGAGATTCACATAAGGATTGTGGTTTTTGGTTGACTATTATTGCTTGTTCGCCGGAGAAGACAACCGGAAGTCTTCTCCGGCCACCTGAATAGTGTTCCCTCCATCAGAGGTTTGAATGGGGGCGATGAACCACGTGCGTTGGATCTTGCTTGGACCTTGACTCTTTCAGCTCATCCCACAGCCACGTTTTGTTTTTGATTTGACTGACTTTGGCTGCTAAATGCAGCGTTTCATTTATCCAGTCAGCTGGTGACTGGACCCCTACGTGGACGCGCCCTCAGCTCTCAGATTTGATTACCCAGTCTTCTCATCCTACGCTCCTTGTTTAATCCAGCATTTTATTTTCTTTTTATTCTTTTTTGGATTTATTTTAATTCATTTGATTTCTAAAATCCATATTAAATCCAATTTTGATCAAAAAAATATTTTAAAAATATCTCCATGATCTTGGATTTAATTGTGATTTTCTGAAATTAATAAATCTCATTTTCATGCCTTTTTCAATTTAATTCGAATTTTTCCATTTTATTATTTCTTTAAATTTGGTATATTTGCTACATGTTCTTGCTGATTTTCTTGTGATCAATTGGTGAATGATTTTAAGTTGATTCTTGTTGGATTGATTAGACTAGGGAAGCATATACCTTTAGAAATTT